ATAATAATAATAATAATAATAATAACAACTACAAATATCAGTGGTATCCTATTTCATATATCCTATTTTCATTTTCTGATAAGTCTTAATTCTTAAGTTAATGATTGATTAAGGTCCTTGGCGAGTTCTACGAATATAAAATATCCGTAGAATTTCCCGTATCACATCATTAACAACTTTAACAGAATATTACAGTTATTATCATGTATGTCAATGCTGGTCGTTATTTTAGGAATGCTGGCCGTTTTTTTAAGAAGTAAGGGGTACAAATAAAAATATTAGAAACAGAACTTTTTTTTCCATTTCACTGAAACAGACGTTAAACGCTTCTATTTTTGTTTCTTTCATTTTAATTCAGTTTCTCACTGAAACCTAGTTGCGCTTTTTTTTGCTTTTTCACGCGACCTAAAAGTAATATTACATTATTTATGCGGTATTGGCAGGACGTAACCGTCGTGCTAAGGAAGGGACAAGTAAAATTCTAATTAGGTAACGATAACAACAGCTGTCCTGTTGTTAAACCAAGAATGGATCTAATAGAATCTGATCTAAATTGACTGGAAGTGTTAACATGTTTATATTTTGTCTTTGTAAATTAGGATGGGCCAAAATCAATGATCTCTTCAGTACCACAGAAGTTTTTTTTGCAGTTGCTTATCCATAATTAATTTGTTATATCTCTTAGCGGCTAATACACTAAATATTTAGTGGTCGAAGTGCACCATGCCGCGTGTCGCAAGATCTTTTTTTTCTTATTGATTTTTGCTTTAAGCATAACGGATAAAATTGAAAAGGCAAGTATCAGAGTCAGATATAGATAAGTGCGAATATCATCAATCCGAAAGTGTCGGCCCGAACGAGGTGAACCAAAATGAAGTTATTTCTTAATTGGCATGACTTGAAAGGCTTTTTATTAAAGCCTATTATCATATCACATTTGATTGTCATGCATGTGACCGTATTACAAACTGATTAGACTGGGGATGATAGGATTCCGACACGATCTCGGTCTCTATACTAGGGTTGAATAAGACTGCTGAAGTTTTCGTCGGTTGAAATAGGTCTATGCTCCCATATATTGTGTACTACTATTTATTTGCTCTGTAATGATAGATAAATTGAGCTCTTTTTTGTGGATCAGTTTTAATATTTTATATTAGTAGGATCCACTTGGATTATATACGAACGGATTTATTACCTTTACCATATATATATATATATATAATATATATATATATATATGATGTATGTAGATGTATGTGTATATGTATATTGTATGTATATGTACGGATATATATATATGTGTACATGTATTTATATATGTGTAGTATTTTGAATATTAAATTACTTGTAATCTGTATATGTATATAGATATATATACCTTAGAATTAATATTTGTAATATATGTGTGAATAGATGTACAACATTGTAATATTAAGTCCCTAAACTATTTACTTAAAAAATTAAATATTTAAATTGATAACATTCATCATTTTTTAGACATCTAAATTTCTATCAAGCATTGAAATCTATCTTTTACATAATTTTGTTAAAACAAAATTACAGCCACTTTCGATTCACTTCATTCTCCCCCTCTCTCTTTGCCGTAACACTCATTTGGATATATCTGTCTCCTCTCTTTTTTCCTTTTCTTTTCTCCCCTCCCATTCCTACATATCATTTCCGTTAAGTTAACCATCTAAATAGGTCAAGATTCGGTCACTCCTCCTACCCCAATATAAAGCATGCTTAAGAGAGATATGAAATTAACCCCTCCCTATACTCTACCTTGTCTCTTTACCTACCACTCTCACCCCCCCTGTTAAATTACAAAAATTACACTACCCATCAATTTCTAATCCCATTTTTCCTTTCATTTCGTTGTTGAAATTGTTACCTGATGATCCGGAGTCCTTTAAAAAGGATTTTGGTGAAATAAATTATTGTAAGGGTACCTTAAAGTGGTCTGTTTTTCATTAAATATTAGCTCTGTATTCACATTGAGCTCTCAGGATTTCATCCTCCTTGGAATTACCCATTCAGTTTACCAAGTTCTTCATAATTTATTATATATATATATATATATATATATATATATATATATATATAAAATAAATTATTAATCGTACAGAGGGGAAACACTCTAGTTGGAAGGGGTTCAGTATTTTTGGTGCTGAATGTCTCAGGAATGCTCAGATCAAGCGTGACCTACGAAGAGTCACTCACTCTGATTTACCGGCCAATATGCAATCTTGGACGTGGTGTATATGTGAGCGCATGCTCTTGTCAAGGGCAGGTTCTGTAAACCTTCTGAAAGCAATAGAAAGCCGACTATGTCAATCTGCCAACAATACCTGTGTTGTTTATAGCAAGGTTTACCCTTAATCATCTGGACTAAGAAGCCACCTGGTGGCACACAGGAGAGTTGTAGGCCACGCAGATCCAATCAAGTCAATATAGGATAGAAGGTTTATCTACCATATATGCAATAACTGTTAAACATGCTGATCTCAAGAGGGCATCATAAAGGTCATGGACACCGTGAGACAAATGTGATGAGGCGTCTCTCATCTTAGTACGATGTGGGCAATCATGATATCCATCCATATATATATATATATATATATATATATATATATATATATATATATACAGGCATGGTGGAGTAATTGGATTGAGGAATCGGAGAGCCGAGTTCGAATTCCAATCGAACCCATTACATTCATTTACGGGCTAATACGTATGAATCATCTTCAACCTTTAGCTATGAATAAACAGCAGGGCAGACTGGGTTTTATAGCCTTGGATGGCAACTGGTCTAGGAGAAGGACAACTCTGAATTCAAAACCTGTGGACGGTCGTTTGGGGAACTTGTGGCACATTGTGCACCAGGTCTCTGTATTCGGCCCTTCAAAAAGTGTGGATGGTTCTGCACAAAACCTTCACCATTATAATCAAATCCCATGTGCTGGCGTCTGACTGTCGGTTCCTAGGAACTGAGCAGCTTGACCCTCATACATCGAATGCGACAGGAGAGTCCGCTATATATATATATATATATATATATATATATATATATATATATATATATGTATAAAATTATAAAAGCGGAGACTTTAGAAAGGTCAAAAAAAAGTTTCCGCTTTCATAATTATCATTTGTTCTGTTCTTACATAGAACTCTCTCTCTCTCTCTCTCTCTCTCTCTCTCTCTCTCTCCGGACCTATATCCTCTTTGGATTTATCCATACAGATTACCAAATATATATATATTATATATATATATATATATATATATATATATACGCCCTATGTGGCTCAGAATAACCGCGTACAGAACGGCTTGAAATAGTCTATCTTCTATGTTGAAGTAATTTTTGTTTTTTTTTTTTATATATATATATATATATATATATATATATATATATATTCATTTTAAAAGTTATATTTCAGTAAACTCCCCGTTTATTCATTTAGCATTTTATTTTCGTTTACCGGCCGGAATATTTGATAAATCTTAAAGAAAAATATGCACCCCAGGCAGTAGTCGAACCTTCACCCCCACCACCTCGCAGGTTAACCTGTCGTTAAATATGACGCTTGGTTACGAATAGTAGCAAGGATCGAGCAACGCCGAATAATGGCTGAGAAGCGGAAATCTTTAAGGTCAAGAAACTTTACCGAAGTGTGAAGGTAATTAAAATAAAAGCAGTGTCACTTTTAACACTCCTTTTTTTTTTGCTGTCAGTATGAAGCACCATGTTTGGTAAATATGTTATAAAATACAAATATAATTTGTCTATTTTCATACCATTTATCAAGCTTGCAAATCTAGAAACCAAGTTATATTCAATTTCAGGTAGATTATCTCTTTAGGGAATGTTTACTTATTATTTAAGGCTAAAATCAGAGAGATTGCTGAAAAGGTCTAAGTCTGTTCCACTTTTTAAAATCTAACTAAATTTTTTTCTTGTTTAGTGTAACAATATTTCAGCACCCCCTTATGCTAAAAGAAAGATTTCTTTAACATCTGCACTTTAAATTTATATTAATCATAGTTTAAATTAATATAAATACTAATAGCAAAAGCTTATGTTATTTTTAATAGTTTTTTTTTAAATTTTATATTTCTTTCATTTCTTTAAATTTTGTATTTTTTATAATTTTTTTAATTGCCAAAAAGTGAAGGTACCTAAAATAAAACAGTGTCATGAGAAAACCCGTCCTTTTGACATGACGTCATATTGCGGCCATGTTTGTCCATGCTTAGTTTTCTTTGAATTCATTATTCCCCACTATCCACATGGTTCATGTGTGTATAAATTGTCACTTTTCAATTTTGGTAGAGACCTATTGTCTGAATAATCAAAATTAGCAGCTTGATATATTTTCAAACATCTCTGAATGAGCTGGAATTTCAGGTTCAAATGCAGTGGCAAGATACGGAAGTCTGCTGAAAGATTCATGAGCTGATCAAGATATGGATGTAAGTAGACACACCAGACCCGATTCTCGTAATGCATGAGAGAAGCACCCCAGGGTACCAAAGGCGGGACCCTGATTCTGTCTTTTACTGGCATTTCGAAAACTTACAATAAATGAACAATTTTGTTGACTCTTATCACAACTCTTTCTTATCTTTATTGCTCACTCAACGCAAGGCACACGAGCCACTCAAGGTAGGGAGTTATTGAGTGAAGTTTTTGTATGAACGTAAGAGGGAGATTTAATTGAGTGATTTGTTTTTTACGGTTTATCAACCTTTTGCTGGTCATTTTACACTAGAAAATATTTTTAGATTGTAAAATTTTTGGAGATAATAATGATTTACTGATATAAGTTCTACTAATTAACCCATAGCAGGGGAAGGAAAAGAGGTGACTTCATAACTCTCCCAAGTGTAGTTGAATAATTAAAAATTATTAACCCGTCTTGAATTGGAACTTTGTTCTCCAATTTTTAGTTCCGAGCCATTATGCATCATACCACCCATACATTCAAGCTTGCAACACCTGGTATTCCCAAGCGGTTACCCATCTAGGTACTGACCAGACTCGACGTTGCTTAACTTTAGTCATCGAAAGAAAACCGGTGTCTCAACACGATATAGCCATATGTCTTGTAGGAAGAGGAGGTAAGAAGTGCAGATTATGACGATATATAGGAAAGAAAACAGTTGATACGAGGCTTAAATGGGTTAAGATCTGGAAAAGGATCTTATCGGGAGTCTGTTCCACGAAATAGCAGTTCTTGGAAGAAATTTGCCTGGAACTTTCCTCCTTACCAATGAAAAACGAAAGTAATGTGAATAATTTGTTACAGTGTACGTGATATGACAGGTACGTGGCCGAGTGGTTAGAACATTCGCATTCTGACCATGAGACCCAGGTTCAAATCTCACTATGGTCGATTTGTCTGGAAGGAGATGTTATCGGACTGGAGGGATTGATCCCAGCGTGCGGCAGTCGAAAACAATACCACGGGTTGACCCAAGCCTTGTGAATGAAATTAGGTAAACAAAACGTCGATAGCTTGTGCTAGCACGAAGTCACAAGTCATCGTAGGCCTTGTTCAAATTGTTGATCACGCTCTTTTCATGAAACTGTAACTAAGGTCTGCTCAGCATAGTTGCTGAGAGTTTTGGGCTGTTGAATAAACACAAATTCCCCTGCGTCTGCAATAAGGATTGGCTAGCCGGGTATTTTCGAATACGACTATACCTGATATGACGTGTGTAGCTCTAAAACGTAGCTCCTGTAAACTCTTTTCCTTGAAATAGCGATAGATTAGCGAGAGGCCTGCGATGTTTCGTCTGGCCGTAGAATGGAAAGTAATTCATCACCCACAAGGGTGTGTCAACGTTTTTGAACTCTATCAAAAGTGAAGATTGAGTGGCTCCAGTTCACATATGGCAGCAATACTCCATTTTTAGTCTGACCTGACTCATTGTGGATTAGTTTTGAGCGGTTAGTTTCGTCTTTTGTTTCGTTTTTACTACGCAATTGACGATGATTACTGTTCAGCGTTCAACTGAATTTTTGTTTGAGAAGATAGATTACATTTCATTGCTTTTATGTTATCGGTGATTAAATTTTTCGTTTTGTCGTTCAATCTTCCTAAAAATAGTTACATTATTGTCCTTAGACTACGGCGCATCTTTTGAATCCGTTGTACAATTATTTTATCCTTTACAAATATTCATTTGCTTGTCTATATTATATTTATGTTTATCTAAATTCTAAAATTATTTTTGTTCAGTTCCTATCCGCCTAGATTTGTCATGTTTGCATTCGTATTTTCTTTTTAACATTGCAGGTAAGTCTGCAGCTTAGAGTTCAGCACTGAATTCCTGTATCGTTACTTAGCGTCTGTCAGCGCTCTACTCTATCGATAGTTTCGTTTCGTATCAATTTTCTCCTCTTGAAGCCTGTAGACTACCGTTGGAGCAGAGGGCAGCTGCAACTATAAGTGTTAAGTGCTTTTTATTACGAAGTGGAATTGATAGCCACACGATCATCAACCGGTTTTAAATTTGGTTGTCTTTCTTCCAGAATCGTTACACCCAAGGTTAGAGAGCAGGGTTTGCTCTCTATTTTGGCCCTAGCTGGGGGGTGTAGTGCATTTATGGGTTTCTAAGGGACATTAGCATGAAGATAAGAAAAATACCTCAGCAGGAATTTGAACATCGCATGCTGATTGTATTTATGTCTTTAACTCTTGAATCAGATTGACATACAGTAAAAATGTACAAGCCACAAGATCAACTCAAGGTAGAGGAATATTAAATGAGGTTGTTTTATGAACTTAAGAGAGGGATGCAAGAAGTGCACATTATTTGGATAGGTAATGGTTGTCTCTATTTTTGACGGGGATGAAATTGTTGTGTTATAGAAGTCAATTCTGCTCAGAAGTCAGTTCTACAAAACAACTCTCAGAAAGAAGTTTTCCAAATGGAACTTCGATCTTACCAATGGGATTCGAAAGGAATTAAGATGGTCCGCTCTCTCTGTACCTAGAATTGTGGGTCTTGGTTGTAATGGTCTGAATCAAGGAATGCAACTCGTCAGTGCATTGTCCATGGAAATAGCGATAGATTAGAGATAAGTTTGCGAAGTTTCGTCTATGAGAAAATGGTTGTAGGTTGGAAAATAATTTATCACCCACAAAGACACTTAAACGCTTTTGAATATTGTTAGGAGTGAAAAAATACTTTTAAAACCAATAAACTATGTCAAATGAATGCGAGAAACTAGGATAATAGGTTGATTGCTTTCTTCTTTTTCTTTTTTTGCAATTATTCTTTTGTTCCCCAAACCAACATCATAATAATCGCAAAATAAAAATAAAAAATTCTCTTATCTAAAAATATCACTGCATGATGAAGACTCGTTTTGAAATTATCAAAACTATTCTATAATAACTTGACTGGTTCACAGAATCAGGTTACAAGTCCCACCCATCATCGATTAGTTTAAATTTTACGAAATCGTAAAATTCACAAATGCAGATAAGCCTACATTCACGAAATACTGCAGAATTGAACCTTACGAACCGCTGTTTAGTTTCATTCAATCTGATTATATATTAAAATTGATTTTGTTTTTTGCGAAAGGGAGACAGTTGCAAGGGAACAACAGGAAATAACACCTGATAAAACACCAAAGTGAGTATCTATTTTGATGATGATGATGATGATAATAATAATAATAATAATAATAATAATAATAATAATAATAATAATAATCCATTTCTAATGAATGCAATTACATAAAAAATTCCTTTTATCTATGTATTTAATTTTTACAACTAACGGTTATTGGTGCAGTAGGTGGAATCAGCTAGCAGAGTTCAAATTCCGGGCTCGCCTATTGTGTTCACTTTCGCCCATATGCACTCAAGAAAGGCACGAATCCATCTTTTCTCATCTCAGTTATGTACTTAAAAGAAAAGCAGATCGGGCTCTCTAGCCGTGTGTGGCAGCCAGTCTAGGAGAAAGACAGTTCTAAACTCAAAGCCTTAGAAAAGAAAATGGGAAAGCACCCACTATCTTTCCAAAGAGGTTATGACAAATGTGAAATAACAAAAAAGAAAGTCATAAACGCCTATGTCCTGAGATAAAATGGCATTAAGAAAATACAGAAATATTGTTCTTCTAATGAATATATACAAAATCTAGATGCTTCTTCTTCGGTATTTTATGGAAAAAAGCTTTTAGAGAAAGGTGGTATCAAAGGTCTGTATCAGAGGCATATGAGCGTAGTGTATACCACTTGTATTAACCAGAATTTAAATTTGATTTCCCGAAATAATTTAAAATAATGACTTTACTTTAAACTAGCTGAAAAGCCTCACTCTGGGCGGACTTTTAAACTAGCTCATGTGGAGGGCTAATTGATAAATGATAATTTTGAAGAAATAACTTTGAATTCAACATTTCGCACCATGATACATCAAAACTTCACTTTAACTCGAATTAGGGGTTTAAGAACAATTCCGTCCAAAAAATGATTTGGGCCAAAAGTAAAAAAAAAAAAAAATGAAAAAAAAAATGAGTTCTTCAAATTACAGACTCTGTGGAACTTCAATTAAATTGAATTCTTCAAATCACTAAATCCGTGGAACTTCAAAACCTCACGTCATGAAAACTAAAATTAACTCTGGCTCCTTGTCATTTGGAAGGAATAAAATTGATTTCAGTAAAAAAGTTTTGGACATGTTTTAAACTGAATTTAAAACAAAGATTTTTAAATTCACAAAGCTTTTTTTATTACTTTAAACTCAATATAAATTAAAATCTTTTAAAATCACTATTTTTTTCAGTTATTTTAAAATTTGAAATTTTAACAGTTCCCACCTCACCCGGACACAAATCCCAGTGCTGGGTGTTCAAACACCAGATGAAGGGCAATTTTTAATCCGGGGGTCATCCTGATTTCCAAAAGGTATATGTCTAGGTAAGCAAGTGTGGCTCGAGTTAGAACATTTTCGAACAGACAGTATTTGCCGTTTATTTAAAAGTAATCATCGGTTTTTATTCTTATTATATGAACACTTTAGATTTTCCAGTTCGGTCCTTTACACAGCTAGGACCAACATTCACGCAGAGAGGTTCGAATCATTTTCCTTCTCTTCGTATTTTATTTGTAAGAAAGAAGTTACGCTCAACTTCTCCCCGAGAGCCAGATTTTGCAGAACAACCTCTTCAAGCGTAGGGCCAATCTTTATCATCATCATATTCAGATGGGAGTGGTAACAGTATATATTTACCGTTTCCTTCATTCAGCATTCATTAAACGCGAAAATTCTTTTAGTTAACATATGCAAAATGGTTAAAAAAGGGATTTCAGGAGAGATAGATTCATACCGTTCTCTGCGGCATATAGGCGTCCCTAATAGAACCTGTGTCATCTAGAATTTGAACTCGATTCTTCGACAATGCTGTCAATGACGTTAACAGTTAAGCCAGCTTTGAGCCTCTGCACGCAATGAAAAGAATTTTGAAGTTTCTTTAATTGAAAAAGTCTACAGAAAAATTGTGGATATTTTTTAAAACTCAGAATAAAATAAAATAAATCCACTGAGCTTACATTCGTGAGTTTTACGAAATTCTCAATATTAAAAGAATTTCAAGAGACAACTAATTATATTATGCTGTCAATTCTTTTTTGTAATTCTATACAGTGATGTGTTTCAGGTTTTATTTGTTTCACTGTTATTGCATGTATCGGAGTGCGCATGCTCGCACGTCTACGTCCGTACACAGATCTCTAGACTCAAGTTAGTCGTTCTTAAAATGCGTTTCATTATCATAAGTAGGAATATGTATATTGTAGCGAATATACGATAAATCTACTTTAAAATTGTTAGGCTTAATTTCTATCGACTGAGAGAAGAAATTTTAGGCAGATCACCATTAACCGTATGTCGTATCTTGAAAGGGTTTGTAGGTGGTTGGTAAATTTCAAATCTTTTCTTGGTATTTCAACATTTAATTGTTCGATGCGAATAAACAGTAAAGCTACAATATATATTTTTATATTCTTGATTCAATGGTTAACGAATAAGAGTCTGAAATATAGTCACTATCTTCATGAACATGTTATCGGAGAATTTT